TATTTCCATCTCCAAACCACCATAGTTTGAAAGAAGGGATTTGCACCCTTGAAGCAATGAGGCAAATAAAAATGAGCTAGACAGGACAAACTTGTCACAGAAGCAAAAATAAGAAGTCAATCAGCATACTTTGCCGAACAGTTTTCACATAAGGGACACGAGATGTAAACTACCTTTTCTGTCAAATCTTGACACAACTTTCTAAGATATAAATAATTTAAAAATAAAAACAAACTCGCATGCAGAGATGATCAACTTGATATTTTAAATTGAGAGACTAAACACTCGAGCCATAATAAGATTGCAAAAACTTTATGCAAATCGATACTCACCAATAGACCCCCTGAAAGGTCCTCTCTATTAACACCAGCTTCATCATCTTTTTTCTGAAAACCCAAAAAGAGCACACCCAAGTAGTTCATCAAATCAAAGAACGAGAAACCCAACTATAAATCACATAATAGAAATGACAGGATTTATACTCACATGCGTAAAATGAAGTGGGAAGTAGCAACCAATAACATCAAAAAGATCAGATGCATTAGAAGCAACTGGACCGGATGAACTGGGGAATAATTGAGCCAAAAGCTCTATTATATGAAAAGCGACCAGTAAGCATTGAGGGTCTTTTTCTCCATCGATGGCTTCGCATGTAGCATATACAAGTATAGTACCCTAGGAATGGTTGTTTAATAAATAGAATTAAGAGAAAATAAGGAAAGGCCTTCAGTAGATCTAATCAGGAAGAAAAACTAAGATGAAGTTGTGTAAGTTTTGTCTGTATAGAGTAATCATGTTAAGAGAAACTAGGATAACCTAAACATGAAGCTTTTGATGAGCAGGGCGCATATATAACGTATTTAAATAATTATTTTCCTTGCCCCCAAGCTGACGTAAGTAGATTCACAAGAAAAACATTCCCCATACACTAGATTAAATTTTCTGTTCTGAACTACGTACGGCAGGTAGAGAGCATTAACATACCAGAGTCATAATAGCTCCAGAGTATTGTTGTAGAAGGCACTCCAGAAGTTCAAAAGCGAGCTGCAAAGTCATGTCATTTAATAATAAGATAATTCAAGTAAACACACACACGAGGTGTCATTCAGTGAACAGAATACTACTAGCAATTGATTCAGACCTTGCGGTCATGCCGTGCTAAAGACTGTACTGACACATTCTCTACGAATGACTTTCCCACAGCTTGTGCATCAATAGCAGTGACCATACCCACTGTGTCTTTCCTCGTCAACAGGGCCAAGCAACCAACAAGTGCCCCACGCACCGTTCTCCAGTCCTCCTGATACAAGTCCATCATCATTTTATTAGTCGATTTTGAAGAAACATGGGAGTGGATTACAGTTGATACAAGTCCAGAAGTACCAGTTTTTGGGTAAAGAATTCAAGGAGAGTATGGACAACTGCATTGTCCAGTGGCTTTGCTTTAAGACAATTGAGGATCTCCGCAAGCAGGAGAATACCTGTTATGAGTGGAGGTTGCGAATGATTGAGAGAAATATGATCATCAAAAGAAGGCAGAGAATGCAAGTACCTCGTGCTCGGACAACATTATCAGTTGTGGTCAGATACATCTCCATCTCTCTGACCTACAATTGGGAATTGTTGAAATTAACAAGACGGGACAACGGAAGATGAAAAGTGAGTGTTTATGTTGAATTACCAATTGGTCGAGAGACAAGAAATCATTGTCCAAAGAAAAAGCAAGCGCTTTCAGACTCTCAGCCTGAAAACAAATAACAAAAAAAGATGCTTGCAATCGATTTCCACAAATTCACAGTGGAGATTAAGTTAAAGAGGATAGAAAAATACCTGCTCAGTAGGAGAACGCGTAACGTCAACAAAAGCTTCGAGATGGAGAGTGAGCTGGTTTCGTTCTGCCATTATCGCACGACGAACTGCCGAGAAAAGAGGACTCCGACGAGAAAAGACCCCACCCGCCCGCCTACAATGTTGAATAGCTAGAGCTGTCAAAATGGGCTCAAGTCCACACACCGGGTCTAGCCCATCGAATCCGGACTTAAAAATTGTGTGTCCACGGGTCTAGCAGATCAGGCCTTTGATTGGTATGGATCTTAGTAGAGCAGTCCTACTATGGTTAATATGCACATTTTTTAAATGATTGACAAAACTGTGAATAACTAAAAATAAAATTCAATAAATTATTATATCATATTTATTTATATGTATTCTAATACATCTCATATACATTAATTGGGAAGTGATTTATGAAAGTTTGTTTATGTGTCATCTCCACAATCAGAACCCAACAAAAATATGATATGGCTAAACAAAAAGATGACATGGCAAGTTTGTATATTTATGTGCACATCTTTACAAAAATGTCTATTTTTCAATTTTTTTTTTATATTATTTATGTTTGGGTTGATTATGTTCTA